TGTATACAAGTATTTTGATTCCCACAAGTGCTTGGCTGACAAATGCCCCCACATTAATGAGTCTGCATCGTTCTGGGCAATGCAATTGGAGCGGCGGCATGTGCAACTGTCATATGGGGCAGAGATTGCATTAATTACAATTACAAAATATGAGCGCATAAATATGGAAATATATACAAACACACTCTTATGTGTATATGATATATGTATGTATGTATATATATCATATCTCGCATGGAATGAATATGACGCATATGTTTTGGCTTGAAATCGAACGCAGCGAGCTAAATGAATCACGAGCGCTGCCTGAGGATCGTCGCCAATTGCGGCTACTGTACAGTTGTCACCCGTATGTGTGTGCAACCCGGCGTTTCCTGCATGGGTGTGGTGTAACAGTGCGTGTGTGCGCATACGATTGTCAGTATGACGAAAATAATAAAAACAACTAAAAGAAGCAAATAAGCAACAAAAGTTACAAGTTGAATGAAGGCTAAACTCAATGAAAGCGACTAGCTGATACCCTTTAAAACTTTCGGGAACAATAAGTGAGGAATATTTATTAGCAACTCGTTTAGAAGTTGAATAAATGAAGAGAATAAAGAAAGTGTCGGCCTAACGTCAATTCAGATTTACTGAATAAATCTATAATAATAAATCTCAAACAATTATATTAAATTAGGGAATGATACAAAAAATATTTTTTTTATAAATAAATTGTATATGTACATATTAATTAATTAAATTCAGTATTTATTGAAATTTTACTTCGATTCAATGATTTTTCCTATATAGGAACTTATTTTTATTATTTTTTTTTATTTTAAAATCATGTGTAAACCTAGTTCAAGGCAAAAAAAAAAAAAAAAAAACAAACAAAATGAAGACTCAGCGCTACAAATTTAGAGCTTGCAATAAATCTAAAAGCTTATAAAGCTACACAAAAATAATGCTTGACTTACAGATGCCCTATATGTAGATTGAAAATTTAATAAGAATGTTTTATTTAAAAGATTTATTACTTTTGATGATAAAACCTAAACATAACAGTATACAGCAAACTGAGTTGTTAACAAAAACTGGGTACATAATAAACTTATATATCATATCATCTAAGATGTTTTTATTTGTGCTGTATTAAGTTGTTCGTATCCAAAGAAATCTTCATGCAATCTTTACCAATTATCATTATGTGATTTTTGTATGACCCCACTTTCTCTTACATTTATAGGGTATAATAAAATGCATGTCATGTTCGTGGCATTGTTGTGTCATGTGTGTGTGTGTGTGTGTGTGTATTTGCATGTCGCATTTTCCCGGCTTGCGCACATGTGGATAACTTGACTGCCTGTCAATTTCCAGAGAAATATGAAAATTAACCAAGCCAAAAGGCACCGCCCCCCACACACACACACACCCACACATGTATACAACTCCCCACGAGATGAACTCCCCCTTTCTCCGTTCTACTGATTTCTGTGGCGTTCGTTAAGTGAGTTTTGTGTGAAAATTTTATTATTTTATTTGCATACATATTTATATTAACCATACAAAGCAATGGAGCTGCGTTTATTTTTGCACTGCCCGATGACTGACTGAGTGAATGTGAGTGAGTGAGTGAGTGTGTGTGAGTGTGTGTGCTTGAGAATTTCGTATCCATCGGACAGCCATGTGATTTGCATGTGTTGTTCGTCATCTGCGTCATGAACATCATTATCATTAAGCAATTGCAATTGCAATTGCAGTTTCAGTTGCAGTTGCAATTGTTGTTGCTATTATTCACCACTGTTATGACAATAATTATGATCAACACATTCATCATCATGACGATGATGATCACAATGACGATATTCATAATGTTTGACTGCAATTTACTATTTACACTTCATTAGGCGGCGACAAATTTAAGAGAAATGTGTCCACATTGTTGAGTGCTTCGCATGCAACTAAATATTTCTGTATCTGTATTTGTGTGTCATATATATACATATATTTATATACACAAAGCAGATCTTTTGCTGCTATTGTGAAAAGGTGACCGCCTAATTGAAAAATCAGCTCAAGTGCTGCGCTCGAATCGCAACGTAACGAAGCAACTAGAAAACTATCAGCCAACCAAAGGCACTTAACACTTGACTCGGAATAAAGTTGAGTGCTCAGCTCTATCCGAATTGGATAATGATGGTTAAAGCACTCAGGAAACAAATTTTTCAGAGTCAAGGTAATTGATGCGGAGCGGCATTAGAATCAACTAATTGTGTTGTCATCGCTCTTTCGGAGTAGATCAGGCAGTTTTCTCTCAGAATATAAGTATATGTTTATGCTCAATTATTTTTCTCAGTGTTTTTAGGAACACTTTTAAGATAGCGCATTTTTCGGAGTGCTCAATTTGAAGTCTATTTTGTGGAATACTAGATTTTACAGGTGCTAAATTTTTGAGATATTAATTTTTCGGAATAGATTTATCTGTTTTCTCTTTAAATATAAAAAAAAACTCTTGCAATTTCTTTTTATATGTTATAAGATTTGACAAAAACTACTAAAAAGTCAGAACTGATAATTTAGATATATGCAGTATTATGTATCCATTCATAACTCACATTTTGTCAAGTTTTTTAATAGATAAAAGGCATATGAATATTCCATCAAAAATACCCTCCTTAATATCTTAGGGTATATTATCATAATTTATTCATTAAGTCAATAAGTATTATATCTTTATTGAGAAATCGCATTGAAAGTTATACGCGCAACTGTCTGCCAATGCTAAGTTTACCGTTATACACTTATCTAAAGTTTCGGAATCATTTCAAGAGCCCAAGAGCAATTGCATTATTGTTTACCTTAATACAAATGTGACATAAGACGATTCTATTATCTCTATGATTAAATTAACGAGTGTCCGAAGCGGATATACAAAATAAAGGAGAAAAAATTCAATGAAAACTTGCTAGGAGCAAACGATGTTGATATCATGCAAGCATACACATATTTCATAAGCACGGAAATACTATCTAGATAACCTTTAAATTTTTTAATTATAATTATAAGCAGACCAATATTAAAAAAAAAGAAAAACAAATAAATAAACTAAGAGAACAAGACCTTCACGAGAGTATGGCGGGGTAGCTAGAGCGCAGAATATATAAAATATTATTAAATCGGGGCAATGCACAAATCAATTGAGTTCGCGTCTACCCGATAACCTCCATAGAATAATATCAGCGCAGAGCTCCGTGTATATATGTATGTATGCGTATATAGACGTATAGGCATATAGACTATATGTGCTGTGTAAATATATTAAGCTTTGGGTGGGTCAGGCAAATGTCTCAATTACTTGGCATGGGTTTTATTTTATTTTTTTTTTTAGTTTATTTTTTATTTTTATTTTCTTGTTTGCTTTACTTCACTTTAGTCAACTTTACTTTACTCTACTTTTTTTCGTATAATGCCTGATGTTAATGCTGAGCAGAGTGCGTTTTAGTTGAAAATTGTTTTCGTCATGTCAGCGGCGCGCTTAAAAAGGTGACACTACAGAAAGAGCCCGGAGAGGGGCCTGTTCCGTCCACATCTGGCTAGCTAGCTAGCCCGCCTAGGCTGCCTATAAATATTCAACAATTAAATGCTGGGCTTATGTCTAGGGGCTTGAGCCCGGGCCACTTCAGATCGACAGCGACAGCGAATAGGCTTTTTTTTTTTTTTTTTTTTGCACTAAGTTTTGTTTTTGTTTTCCTTCTTTTTATTTTTGCTTTAAGTCGTATGTGTTTGCTATTGCGCATATTTAACCCTTTAGGGTTAAGTTAAACATTACGCTTACGTTTTATTTCGTTTTCATTTTGCGCGCCATTTTGCGATTTATTTTCAGTTTCTTGTTTTAAATTTTTTTGCCGACAGCAAAATTTTAAGCCGTCTTGTAATACTTGAAATTAGCAATTTAGCTTATTTACTTCTTATATGTATATTAATATACAGTTTTTTTTTGCTTGCAATTATTGGATCGTAAAACAGTTGCTTATATCACGACTAATCAATTTTTTAATCTGCTTGCCCAACAACAAGTTCTTGCTAATCAATAAACAAATTATAAACATTTACAATGATTGCTCGTCCGGCTTATCAAGCCTCCATTCGCAAGCTGGTTTATCAAGGCTATCTCGCTTCTATTTATAAGACTCGCACCCACCTCCTCCTCTCTCTCTCTCTCTATGTCTCTTCTAAATTACTCCTATATTGTTCTATGTGCTGCACTTCTCATATATAAAACGCAATTAGAGCGCTTTATATATAGATTTTGATATTTTATTTTGGCCAGGCACGTGCCATGTGTTAGGCAGGTGAAATTGCTAACCTGAACATTAGAGTTTATGGCTTCTAAAATTTCGGAGTAACATAAATTATTTTTAAATTTGTGCAAGTCATTGATAAGTAGTGAGCATACTTCAATATAACAAAAAGTTTTTAATACATTTAAAAAAAAATTAATTTAACTTGCATTATATAATAGAACTTTTAAGTAAACATTATCGGAATTAATTCGTAGTAACTTTGGAATTATTTGTTTTGTATTTGTATGACATTTTAACAAAAAAAAAAAAAAAAGAAACATTTGTAGTCAAAAATTTGTTCGAAAAAATTTAACTTAATTTTAGTCTTATTCTCAGTTTAACTTTAAAAGATTATTATACACTTTAATGTAATTAGAAATGAAAATTTTACTGTATCAAAAGATAAACTATTATCAAAGTAAAAATTAATAAAGTCTTTTATAGCTATTATCGAAGTCTTTCGGAGTATTGCATCTACTCAAGTCTCTATAGATTAACAAAAATACCTCAAAGAAACCATTATATATATAATTTAGGATTATGCCTCAAATAGAATTTATATATTTATGATATGTTAACTAGATTAGATATTGAGCCGATAGGAATCGGATCGATCTGTGCTTAAGAATTGATAGCTAATAGTCATTAGATCATAATTTATAATAGGACACTCACCTGGCTCATTAATCTCCTGTTCCATTTGCTCCACTTTGTTAATCTCCATTAGCTGCTGTCCATCGGTAATTGTCAGATCTTGTGGGTGCTTCATAATAATCGAGTGTACGTTCTTATCAAAGATAATTCACAATCATGTGTGAGCCATGCTTAGCAACTGTAAACGAACGATAACGATAAGTGTTTAGTAGTATATATTATAGTTGAAGTAATTTAACATGGAAACTGTAATATAACTACTACTTCAACTATATTATACAGGTAAATGTGTCTTATATAGCTTTAATGGGTTTTCGATAAGCCGCAATAATATCAGTAATAAAATACCAAGTTAATACAAGTATGTGCTGGTTACATGTCCAGAGGTGAAAGGGAGTCTACATTTACGATCCCGTTAATATATATATTTATACATATACCCAGTAATATAATGGCTCTATCAGCATTTCTAGTTGTCCATTTTTACGAGCAACTCTATGACACACCCTTCGCGCAGAGCTTTTTTGTGACTCGTAGCGCCAAAATATCATGCTGAAATAATAATCTACTCTGAATGCCCGTTTAGATAAACAGTTGAAAAAATAAACTGACTTCACACAAATGGCTTTCTTCACTTCTCTATCAGAAAAAATAATAAAATAAAATAAAAATAAACTAGAGAACAAAATATTTCAGGTTCAGCGATAGGAAATTTGTGATTATTATCAAACGTTTATTATTTCTTGGCCATAAATGTTTGATAAGCCAATGGCAGCTATATACGTGGTCCTAACTATCAAAGCGAGGGGGCCTTACCCCTAACTAATCTCCACGGCAACAATTTTATATATCTTATGGATTTCAGATCGTGCCGAAAACGTGACGCTTGCTTTCAGTTAGATCAATAGGGTTTTGAATTGGGGATTTCAAATGGGAATTTCTAAATACACAAAAATAATGTTATAGATAAATAATCCTAATAGAATAATATAAGAATTTATTATATATACCACTAACTTTATCATTATTCCTGCACTACTCTTTACTATTTGATGAAGACAATATTAATATGGTCTATAGCTATGACATACTAGAGAAAATATTGGGAATATACATATTACAAAAATTTATTATCAATGATATGGTCTATAAGCTGTTCTATATAGCTATATACAATTTATTTTACAGTAATGAGTATATATTATAGATATAAAATGGAACATTCCTACCGCAGAAACAACTATGCTGTAACCATCACATTTAATCCCAGTCTTATATAAATGTAAATTCATAAATATTCACAATTTTTTTTTAACAAAAAATATTAATTCTTATTTAATTTAGTATTTGTTCTTAACATTTAAACAACGCTAAAATTTGAATATATTTTTTTTTATCAAGTGTTACAATCATCAAAATTGGAGCAACTAGAACTTTGATATCTTGGCTGTATTCAGAGCCTCGGTCATAAGTCGTCCAAAGTCGGCATGGATCATGGTAAAGAGCTTAACAGCGCGTTCCTGCAGGAATTGACTGGCATCCGCTAGATGTTCCGAAATGTTGCGCACCAGGCGCTTACGGCCGCAATTGTCCAGGGTATAGGTCCAGAAATCGGTGGCTTGACTGAAGTTATCTTCCGTATCACCGCTCATATAACGATAGACATCGCCCGAAACGGGACAGCAGGTCTGTAGGGCAAGAGCCCGAGAGCTCTCCTTGGGTCCACAAAAGGAGTTGGGGAAATAGTTGGGTGCACCATCCTGATTATCATTCACAGTCATCGCGCCGTCACGCTGGAAGTTCTTGACATTCACACGATACGGACAGTTAACAGGGATCTGCATATAGTTGACGCCCAGGCGATATCTCTGTGTATCGCCATAAGCGAACAGACGACCCTGCAGCATTTTATCCGGCGACGGCTCAATGCCGGGCACCATATGAGCCGGACTAAAGGCCAACTGTTCGACTTCCGTGAAGTAATTGGTGGGATTACGATCCAAGACCAATCTGCCAACGGGCAACAAGGGATACTCCTTTTGGGGCCACACCTTCGTCACATCGAAAGGATTGAATTTGCACTTTCTGGCCTCCTCGTTGAGCATCACCTGAATGAACAGACTCCAGCTAGGATAGTTGCCCTTCTTGATGGCATTATACAGATCACGTATGGAATAGTCTGGATCATGAGCGGCCAACTCTGCGCAACGACGTGCATCCAAATTCTTAATACCCTGATCTGTCTTCATGTGGAACTTAACATAGAATGTTTCTCCACTTGGATTTACCATGCGGTAGGTATGGGCGCCATAGCCGTGCATATGCCGATAGCCATCGGGCGTGCCCCGATCACTGAAATACATGAGCAGAGCGTGCATTGTCTCCGCTCGCAGAGACATAAAGTCCCAGAACATGTCCGGATCCCGGAGATGTGTCTGTGGATTACGTTTCTGGGCATGCACCAGACTGGGAAAGAGCGAGGGATCACGCACATAGTACACGGGCATATTGCAGCCCACCAAATCCCAGATGCCATCTTCCGTATAGAACTTGATCGCAAATCCACGCTGTTCTCGCACCGTATCCGCCGATCCATTCTCGCCACAGGCTACCGAAAATCGCATGGCAATTGCTGTGCGTTTCTTGACACGATCAAATACCGACGCAGCACAGAATTTGGTTATATCATGGGTGCATTCGAAGTATCCAAAAGCTCCGGCGCCTTTGGCATAGGCTACACGCTCTGGTATACGTTCCGTATCGAAATGCGACAGCTCGTCAAGAAAAATGAAGTCCTGCAACAGAGCAGGACCTCGCGGCCCAACCGTCATAATGGCATCCTTGACACCAACGGGAATACCACTCGCTGTGGTGCACTCCGTGGGTGGTTCTGAGTCTTTGTTTTTGTAGTCGATCAACTGATTGGAGGCCGGATCACGTGAACACATTTTAAATTTCGCTTAAACCGTTTCAAATGGTATAGATATATGTGTAATATATAACGAGAGATTGGAAACTATTTCAACTTCAAGAAATTTGGAAATCTGAAGCGAACTTTATGCATTAACTGAACGAGTGAATAATGTTGTTTAAAGGAATTTTGAAGTTAAGTTCAAAGCATTTTCAATTGGAAGGAGAAAACTCAGGGGTTTTTTTAATGTTATTTCTATAATTCTATTCTTCTATTATAGATATTTCAACACTTATATTGTCAATTCGGAATATCTTCCTTAACACTATACTATCTAATCCATTTGGAATGGCTCAATATATTCACTAGGTAAGTCATCTCAACTGTTCAATGAATCATGATATCAATTTGGAATGGTGATTTCGTTCAAATATAGCTCAGAAACGACAATTCCCACACTAGTTCAGTGAGTTCAGATTGATTGATGCATATTTTGTAGTTCATAAGCAATCCATATTGGACAGATATTGAACGGCTCGATCATGATCTATTTGCTCATGAGCAGTTGAATGGTTTAATAGAGATCATGATTCCGAAACAAATCTAACCATATCCTTCGCTGATCACTCGCAAAAAATGCTCTACTTCAATTTAATGAACCGTTCAATCGAACAATTCGCATTCCGCATATTTCTTTCTATCCATTTATATATTAACTATACAACAAAATATATGTGTGTATATACCACATCTATAAAAGATCACATCGCAATTGGCTCTCTACTATAATCTTATGACTAGCTCATCAAGTATGGCAATTATCTATCGGCTAGATTTTCGACGCTTGCAAAGCTCTGTTTGCACGCGACACACGTGTCCATGGTTGAATGACAGTCAATATACTAAGTATGACTAAAAGCTTGAATAGCTGAAATGTTAAGCAAATAGGCAAGCACACACAAATGCAGAAGCACGTGTTTGTGTGTGTCTTTAAGTGCACACACACACATAGATATATGCATGTCTTATATGCACTCACTTACTAACACACACATGGTTGAATATGACATATGGAAACTTACTTGAAAGCTCGCCGTTGGAAGTAGCTATCGTTGCTGTTGTGTTGTTGGGTTGCTGCTGTTGCTGGTATGCAGTTACTTTTGTTTTTGCTGTTGCTTTTGGTTTTTATCAGACGCTGCCGCTGCTGTTATGGCTGTTGACTCTAGTTGACCGCATGAATGAAAGCGAAGCAGAGCGCAGAGCAGACAACCGAGAGAACGGAGACGCGCGTCACACACTTGTTGATTTCCTTCCTATTTGTGCTTTTTGCATGGTTCGTCTTTATAATTGAAAGCTGATGTTTTTTATGTTTATTTTTTTTTTCTCGTTTTTTGGCACTCAAATCGTATATTACACGGTTGCACACCTCTTCGCCTGCTTCATATTGCTATTTCTTTGTTTTGCTTTGGCTCTTTTCTTATTATTATTTTTTTTTTATTACTGTTGCACTTAAGCGGCTTTTCGTTGCCCTACTGTTGTTATTCTTATTGTTGTTGTTGTTATATAGATGAGTGTGTGTGTTTATTTCTGTACGCCAATTAAAGACGTAACGGCGAACACTTGGACATTAAAATGAATTTATTTCATTTTCAGCTGCGGCACTGTTGCTGCATATTCATTTATATCAATCAAAAGCGATATATTTAAATGTATATTTGTTGTTATTATTGTTTTTGTTTTTGGTCGTTTTCAGTGCGAAGTCGTCACTTGAACTCAACTACGGCTTCTGTCTGCAACGGTCGCCAGCGACGACAGCGCCAGCAGCAACAAGTCCCTTCGTACAGAGAGTGAGAGAGAGTGTGAGCACGAGAGAGCGGCATGCAGTTATCACTCCATTGCTCATTGTCCCTCTCTTTTCTTTGGCACGCTCGCGTCTACACTTACACAGCTGCTTTACTCACACACACACGCAGACAGACGGCGCTGTTGCTGTTACGTATTTGTTTTTGCAAAAATCAAACAATAAATTTTTGTGTTGTTCATTTGATATTTTAAAATACATGTCAGAATTGCATAAAACACGCGTGCTTAATTGTTTTTATTTTTACACCAATACCTTACACACTGCATTATTATTGGAGCGGGGGCCTGTGCCGCTGGCAGCGAGTTGACTGAACCCACACGCTCACACAAATACAAACAGTCGAGCTATACGAGGGCACAGTACGTACCACAGACGAATACGAGCAATAGGCGACTGAAAATCAAAGTGGCAAAAATCAACGGCATAGCGAATTAGTCGGTGAGTGAGGGAATGTGAAGAACGTAGCTATTGGCAGACAAGCCAAACCAGATTCAAAGGGATTATCGAACACTACAACCAAAAATTTGAACTTTTTATGTTTACCGAGAAACTACGCCAAAAAAAATAGCAACAAATCACAAATTTTAACAATATTTGCAGAGAGTGTAAGAATGGCGCGCTCTCTTGCTCTCCCACTCTCTACACACTACTCATATTCTTTATATGTGTGTGTGTGTCACTTGTCACGTCGCATAGTGCGCCGTGGGCGGCTGATCGAAAAGCGTGCTGCCAGCTGTTCCAAAAAGCTAATACAATAAATATCGATATGGTTACAATCGATATCTGTGTTATGCTACTAAATGTTATTTAACATAATGATCGCATTCAAACTGCTGAAAAGCGCTAACAGCGCTTTACAATTCTTTGAACACTTTCTAATTTGAATTTTAATGTTTTTATATAAAATATTGATGTTATGTTAGAAAAACTTGTTTATTGAGATATTTTTGCCTGCTAACTGGGTACAGTGGGCGACTAAATTAATATGATTTTTGTTGTTTTTTTTAAGTATATGCATATATGGTTTAATGCTCACTAAATATTAAAATATATTTGAATTATTTACTTAAAGTTACGAATATTTTATAAGTGTATATCTGTATGCGTGTATGTATGTATATAATATTTACAGTTGTTCAGTTAATGCACATGAACACATGTACAATTATGGTATGTTAAATAAATAATAAATTAGTGTAAAGCTGAATGCTTTTCTTTCATTTTGCTTTTCTTTTAAAATGCGCTTTCTGGGCGACGACATATTTCATTTACAATTTTACAGGAATATTACGTATACGTAGCTATAATATATGTGTAAGTATAGTGGGGAAACAGTTATACATAGTAAAGTTTAGTACAGATTTTTAACATTTTTGCATTTCAATTACATTTAAGACACAATTGTTAAGAAAGTTTAGTTTTTTTTTAAGAGTAAGGCCATAAAATATGAAATTAAATTTAATAGAAAGTTACATAAATTGCACTAAGTATTATAAAATTTAGCTTAGATTTGTCACGTGCTGTAGAAGTGAAACACAGGTACGATTGATTTTCTCATTTGTTTAACATCTCTTTCTTTCATCTTTCATCTTTTTTTTTTTTTTTTTTTTTTTTTTAGCTGCGATCTCTATTGTTATACGCTCGCACCTTGGCCACGGTGCACTCAAGCGCCGCTTGGATGTCATTGAAGACGGGCACGCCCTGCCGCTTGGCCAGATCTATTAAATACGAGCGACCGCGATTGTAGTCCTTGATGGCGGCTACAGTTAACTGTAAATAATCCAATTGGAATTTCAATTAGAAATGAGGTTTGAAATGGAAAATCACTAAAATATTTTATATCGTAGCATTAAATATAATGTTCTAAATATATGAAAAACTTACTAGAAAAAATTCAATCTAAAAAATAATAATATGCATATATTTACTAAATACTAACATTAAGAATTACCAATATTCAATTTCCAATTCAGTATAATTTACTTAATAAACAAAAATTTTTTAAATGCTTAAAATATCATATGTGCGCGCAAGAAGATGTCAATATTTTTAACTTAATAAATTTTTTATTTTTAACTTAATAAATGATATGATAATGAAAAGATAAATAATTATAGAATTTCTCATATTTATCAAGTAAAGGTACTTATATTTATTTTATAAACTCTCTCTTGAGTCTAGCTTTTCTGAAACATAGCACAAGAATCAATATATGTATATACTATATACATATTTAGCTCATCCTCATTCTTCATCATTAATGAAATCCTAATTATCTTCGACTCTCCTACATTTAACTATAATTGTTCCTCTCTTCTGCTTCTTCTCTTACCTTTTCACCGCCCAGGACACAATCATCGGGCAGCATTTGCACGGCGAGCACAACGTTGTACATGAGTCCGATGCAGTGGGCGGCCAGCGTCATGGGCGCCAGCGAGCGCGTCTCGTTCGTGATGACAAAGAGCAGCACGCGGCTGGAGTCGAGCAGAGCGGGATTGTAGAGACTCTGGCGCACAGCCACCGGCGGCAACGACCAGCTGAGCGACTCCTCGGCCACCGTCAGCTCCTCCTGTTCCTCCAGCTGCAGCTGATTGCCGCGACACTTTCGACGCGTGCGCACAAAGGAGCGCTGCTGTTGCTGCTGCTGCTGATCCTGCGTGGCGGACATGGGCGGCGTCTTCGATTGCTCTTCCTGCTGTGTGGGCAACTGCTGAATGCTCTCGTGCAGTGCGGGCGTGTGGAAGGTCACGTTCTGGGCCTGCAGATAGGGAACCGCCAGCTCTTGGCGCCATTTGGTGCGCAGCACACAGCTGCCGCCCAAATAGACATCGCGCAGATCCAAGCCAGAGCAGCAGAGAGCATCGCCGGCGCTGGCTATGGAGCTGCTGCTGGAGAACACCGAATCATTGGAGTCGCTCTCCTCCTCCTCCGTTGTATGCTGATTGATGCTGCAGCTGCTGCAGTTGCTGTTCGCGTTGTTGGCATTGCTGTTGTTGTTGCTGTTGCTGTTGACAGCCATAAACGGTTTGGTCTCTATCGTTTTGGTTGTGATTATTTCAGTTGTCTCTATCGATTCCACATTCAGCATGATGTGTGGCTGCAGTTTTTTACCTACGGACGCGCCCAGCGGCTGCGGCGACGACGTGCCGCTGTCTCGACTGCGGCTCAACTGCTCGAACAAACTCTGCCGCTCCAGATCGTGGCCGATGCCGCTGCTGCTATTCGATGGGACGCTGGCATTGCTCGACGTGCGCGATATATTCTTGCTGGCAGCATAATAGATGTCGACATCAGGCGCTGAAAGGCAAGGGAAATAGAGTCTTAGTTTAGTCATGTCTCTAGAGACTGCTGCATCTCTTTCAGCTTACCGTTGGTAAAGTAGACCTGCGGCGGCGGTACGTTCGTTCCCTTGATGGGCGATATGCAGCCGCTTTCGTGGATCTCCTGCTGCAGCACTGAGAGATAAGCGGAGATCACACAGAACAGATCGAAATCGATGAGCTCCTGGCAGCTTCTCTGATGGGGCTGCTGCTCCTCTTCCAACTGATGCTCACCCGCCTTTGTACTTTGTGTTTGCAATAGTTTCAATGATTCGCGTTGATTGATTATTATCTTATTCAGATTATCTAAATTAACTAAACTCTGAGCATAGCCTAAAAATAAGAGAGCACGTTTGCACTGTTCCACAGTGAGTAGTTCGCTTTGGGGACTAACGCGATCAAAAGCGCCACGTACGGTACTAGAAATATAGGAGCGATACAGTTCTATTAGATATATATGTATTATAACAATAAATACTTGATATTAAATATACATATTGAATGAAAGAGGCGGCTTTTTGGAATACTCTTTAAGTAGCTTTGATCTTTATATTGATAGAGAGAGGCTATTTAGATTACCCCTATAGTAAGTTAACACTATATATTCTTGCCTCAACAGTTTTTGAAAATAATACTCTCTGTCTCAAAATACTCTCTGTGCAAAAAAATATGTATTCCTCTTAACAATAGCATCTGCTGAATCTATTCCTCACTCACATCTCTCACTTTACAGTCATCAGCCATCTTGCATCTTTTATCTCTCTCACATCGCTTATCTGTTTTCACTGATATCTCATTTTCATCTCGAGTCGCCCAGCTCTTATCTCATATTACATCTAACAGCTCACATGTCTCATCTTGCCATTACCCACAGTTTAGAATTTATATTCCATATTCAACATTCCATATTTCATATTCCATACACCATCTCTGTGGCTTATTTTTCATCCCTGATATAGCATCTCATATATCTCATTTCTCTTTTCCCATCTCCCACTCTCTACATCCCATCGACTATGTTTTACATTCATATTCCACATACTATCTCCCATCGCTTCTCTCCCATTTTTTCTATCTTATTTCGCATAGATCACTTCTATTTTCATCTTTTATGACTGTTATCCCATCTCCCATTTTTCATATTCCACATTCTTGTTCATCGTACATCTCATTCAAGTCAGCCGCAATTGCCATATCCTACATCCCATCTCCCATATTCCATACTCTGTAACCCATATTATATTTCTCATTTCACAGTTCTTGCGTCTCTCATCTGCCATCTTAAATCTCTCATATTCCGTATTCCATTCTTCGTATTGCATATCGTGTCACAGCTCACATCTCCCATTCCATATCTTCCCTTGTCAACATTAATACTCACTCTAATATAGAAGATATTTTGGACGGTGGATCTCTGATGCCAGATAAGATATCCTTGGTGCGCTGCAGTCCAGATGGTATATTATCCAGCACTGGCAGACCGCGACGGGAGACCAGCTCCTTAAGTATCATTTGATTGCGACTTAAATCGAGGTATTCTCTGTAAAACGGAAAAGCCAAATTAATATTTATATAAAAGTAAAGCAACAGATTTCCAGTTAACATACTGATGCGAAATAGGCTCGTGCAGGATATTCTGATTTGGTTTATAGGGATGCAAAACCAACACCAGCTGCTTGCAGTTTTGACCCGCGATGTGTGCCGCCTCGATGGCACCAGCAGATGCGCGTGTTTCCGAATCCATAACAAAGAATAATACGCGTGCCTTTTCCTTGGCTCGATGCTCCAGCTCGATGAGATCGGGCGTCCAATCGGATACTTGCTGTTGATCGGATAAAATGAGATATTTAATGAGGATATTCCATTGGATTTATTGATATAGTTATACTTACAGGATTATAGAATGAAATGCCGAGCTCCTTGAGTGCGGGTATTGCCACATCGGCTCGCCATGTCGTTGGATTGCAGGAGCCGCCGAGGAACACCTCGACGGGTTCATTGCTGGCATTCTTCTTCTTCTTGGTGTCGTCGACGCTGCTAAATGATTTTGTACTGCGCAGCTCTGTGGCATAACTCTCCGATTTTTTATTGTAATGCTTAGAGGCAGATGCTGTAGTAGTTGTAGTCGCAGTTGTTGTTGCTGTTGGATTTTGGGTATTATTGGAGCTATTCGCTGCTTGAGCAGCTTCGTCCTGCTGCTGCAGCAGAGAGCTAGAGAGTTGTTGGTATCTAACGTCAGTGAAGTTCGATAAGTTGGAGGCTCTAAAAGAAAACAAATTTAAATATAATTAACAATTTATTGTCATTGCCAATTCACTTGAATGCTCACCGAAAACGTTTCAGATCCGCAGCCAGCACACAAAATTGCCCGAACGTCAAGCCGTGTGTCTGGCCCCGACCCTTGCGGGCAACCTTCTTGGCCGTTTGCAGCATTTCGCTAACTGTTTCAAGGAAAATTTCAAATATTTTATAATTTTTTATAATTTTCCTTTGTTTTCTTTGACACTTACTCTGCTTTTGGCTGGGATGAAAGCTTAGCTCGTGGAAGAGCTCCTGCGTTCGCTCTTCGGGCACCACATTGCACCGCGCCTTTGCTCTCCAGGCATTCAGAATTTCTCTGTAAATATAATGAATAAAGAAATATGATTGTTAAATATGTCATTTACTTGTTGTCCAACTTAATTAACATGTAACCGTTACTTGCGTAGCCTAAATATATTATTTCATAGCATATTTAACTTTCAGGTTATTTATTATTCAGTTTCTTATTTAAATTATATATGGTATATATGAATGTCTTTTTTGTTTAATGATAAATGGCCATTCCATCCCTCATGTTCCATATTCCATATTTCATATTCCATCTCTCATTTTTCATCTCTCAACTCCCATCCGACATCTGTGACCTCTTATTATTTATCTCTCCTTTCAACTTGCAGTCATCCTTACTGCAATGCTCAATTTATGCCCTTCTCCGTAATTCTCACGAATTGAATATCGTTACAGATTATAATTTGAGTGAAATATTCGCAAATATTATGGATTTTATTAAATCTAATTGATTATATAAAGATTGTAATATGTGATCAACAAATGATACGCATTAGTTATAAATTCTGATTAAATATTCCTGGTTAATTACTTGACAAAACTTTAAAACATTCAAGTCAATGCAGGAACGCCATAAAATAAAAACGAAAACAAAGCCAACTACCTGTCTTAACAAATGCTTTACGACACTTTCCTTATATGTAAATGGCAATAGCAATGAACCAAGCGAAGGACACGCAATAACATGCCTATAAAAAACCACAACAACAACAGCCACAACTTTTGTAAACAGAACTAAGAAAAGCAAAACAAGATATATATACATTTTTTTTTATAGTAAAACATGGTTAGCTATAAATGTTCTCAAGCGATTTCCAATTGGAATCGGATGCGAGGCACGTTCCATGTTTCGAGAACACCAAAACGAGTCAAAAAGCGAGTCATGTTCAGAATTTAAGTGCCAAAAAAAAAAAAAAAAAAGAGCCATACATGACAAAAAAATGAGCGAAAATAAAATGATGTGAAAAATTGTATTTTACGCTATTTGTGCTGTGGCAGCTGCTGTGGCAGCCTCCGGCATGGCAGTTGCGGCGTTTGCTTCCGTATTTCCTTTTGCTACAAATTGGCAGCTAGTCAGCAGCGGCAGCAACAACAACAATAGCAGCAGCAGCAATCGCGAGGAATACAATGGCAATTGCATCATTTGTGCAGCGAGCTGTGTTCAAGAAATAATTTGTTTATTGCAAATATTGCGCATACGTAGCGTGTGCCAGAGAACAAGAGAACAAAAAAAAAAAAAGGGAAATTATCATATATGGCATATGCATATACATGTAGTGTATAAATGTATGCTCGATGCATATGTGTATGTTTATAGAGCTGATATTGTAGGCGCTCATAGGCAATTCAAACTGGGCAAATAATATTTCGCGACGCAGTTACTTGATTTCCATTTCATTTTGAAATATTTTTTTATACACACTCACACACACACACACACACACACACATACACAGAGCTGTGTGTATAATATGTTTTGTTTAATAATACATTTTGTTTTCGTTAAATGGAAAACGCAAAAATGATATCATACACAATTTCAGTTGTAAAAAAAAAAAAAAAAATTCGTAAACAACACAAAATAAAAACAAATTTGTTAATTTTTGCTCAGTTTTTTTAGAGCAGTTGTAAAATTTTAAAATACAAGTTATTAAAGTTGAAGCTTTTAAGATTCAACAAAATATTGACACATTAGCACAATTAATTTTAATATACTATAATTTAATTTGAAATATTTTGAAAATATAATAAAGCACACTTTGAATATTTTGAAATATTTAGGTTCTCTCTTTTTTTTAACTGTATGTCTTTTGAGCTACGTTTGGCGACTAAATTTAATAAGTTTCAATTTACATATTTTTGCATTTTATTGCCCACTTTGGGCGTTTGAAATACCCTTATCAACTGTCAATTGAGATCAGCTCGAGAAGCTGACGTCAAGCCGGTGTGTCTGTGTTTGTATTTTTTTTTTTTTTTTTCAATGTCGACCGTGGCAAATTTATACACAAACAAATTAATAGCTAATTAAGCGGCTACATACACATATGAACATTCATAGACAATTTATGGGCGCCAGCTGATAAACTTTATAAGCAAATCAATTTCAAATGCAAGTACAGATGTCAGGAAGCTTTTTTCACTATAAGTTTTCAGCTGCTGAAATATAAGCATAATCAGACTAATAGTGAAATCAATTCACTTGAAATACTATTGAAGAAAAGTTATTAAAAAATGTTATACATTAACTTTAAAATAAAGGGGAATTTTATAAAATAAATTTAATAATTTATATTATAAAAAAAAAATAAATAAAAATATATAATAATAATAACACTGATATTTTTTGAACATAAAAGAATACAATGAATTGTATTTTAATTAATTTATTTTTTTTTTTAAATTTAAAACTTCAAAAATAAAAGTATATAAATATTTCTCAAAAACAATATGAGGTTAATCTTTTATTATTGATCGTAAGTTCGATAAGTGAACAATAAAATTGTTTGCAAATTTTATGGCTGCTTCAATCTACTAATCTAGCTAATTTAGTGCAGCCATAAAAGAAGTGTATTGATAATAATCACAGTTGAGTGCAATGTTCCGGGGTGAACATTTTAAAATAATAGATTTGGTCATTCATATAGAAGTATTTATACCTTAGGCTAAAATGATTTCATTTTGATTGATGAGTTCATATTTATAATTGCTTGTTGATAATATTATGTCTGTTATATTATAAATAATTTTTTTTATTTAATTGGACAATCAAAACTCATTTTTATTTAAAATAAAGCTAAAATTTTTTAAAATTATTTTTTAAATAAATATTTTTGATTTATGTACTTCTTTTGAGTTATTATTTTATATATTTAATAAATTTTCATGTTTATTTAAAAAAAGTAAAAAATTTTTTTTAGAAATTAAAATAAATTATTTTGATTTATGTATTTTTTTTTTTAAAGTTATTAGTTTATATATTTAAAATTTTTTGATATTAATTAATAGTTTTGTTATTTTCTATATTTTTATTTATTGACTTCTTTTTTTAAATTTTATTTCAAAACAATATACTTTGAGAGCTACTAATTATTATATCCTTTTAAATCTGTTTGTAGTGTTTATAACGTGTTTTTAAACAAAATTATAAATGAAATAAATAAGGCCAGCCTAAACGAGCTAGTCAGGAGCATTTGAAGAGATCACTCTAATAAGATTAGCTCCAAATTTAATGGAGCTTAATTAATTTATGTTTCAGAATCGTCGGCTATTTATTGTTGAGCTGTTGCGTAGCTAATACAAATTATATATACCCATTCAATTTATCTCTTTGTTTGGGCACACAAAGTCGCACGAAATATCACGCCCAATTAGCAAATATGTTTCGCTCGCTTTTTCAGTTGTTTTTCGATAGATCTGCGCTACAGAGGCGTTTAGTAGGGTGACAACATTTTTTATGACCCAAACAAACTAGTCTGGTTGTTTGCGGCTACCCACACGGGCTAACAAAAAACAATTTACTCATAGACTATGCTCAAAATTTGGTCAGCAAAATAAACAGCTGAGAAGTACAGAGTGGGAGGGAGGGAAGAACGGAGAGCGACAGAGAATTGTGAATGCAAATGGGGATTATGTCATTGCCAAGAAACCGAACGGCAATAGACCAAATGGCAGCAGCAACGACAAGTGCAGGCTGTGGTCAAAACTTGTCTGCGGACAAAGAGGGCGATAGAGAACGAGAGAGAGAGAGCGAGATGGCAAGCGGAATGCCAATTACATGACTGCATCAACATCAACAGCCGCAGGCCAGACATATGTTGGCCAAGAAGATGGCACGCCCACACATGCACAACGGCGTAGGCCGGTAGGCGGGCGAGGGGTGGCCAAACGACTCTTGGCAGCGCTCAACTCAAGTGTTGGCCACACTAAATTTGGCATTTTAATGAGTTGGGCCAGCTCTATTTTTGGGGCGCATTTAGTCTGTGTCTCTTGATCTCCATTTCGATCTCGTTTTCGTTTGCCGCGTGGGCGTCGTTGTTGTTTTTTTCTTTTTTTTTGTTTTTTTGGCTGCAGATTGCGCCATCAGCATCTTTTGGTATTTCTTTGTGTGTATTTGTGTTTTGTTTTATGGCAAACAGACGCATCAAATTTTATGTTTTGTTTACATATAAGTCAGAGAAACACACGAAATACACGCATTGTTCAGATGTTGAAAGATTTCCGGCACAACGATTCCCCCTATTCTATGAGGAAGTGAGTGCAATTGCAGTGGAGTTAGTTCGAAAGCAGATGTATGCGCTGTATTTGGGAATGCTGAATGGGGTATGATAGACTGCCTTAAAATTCAATTATAACACATTTTTGTTTTCTTTATACTCAGTAAAATGAATACCCTATGAATTAATATATGGTTATGATTAAACATTTCTTGCTGCCTTTTATTTATAAGGATTTTAAGAAAATATTTTGGTTTTTAAAAATTTCTAATCTATTTATACTTCGTAACTATCATTGCTTTCTTATATATTTATAAAATTTTCCAAAAATGTCTAACAGTTTTGAATATCCTGTAGTCAACAAGTCGGGCTTCTTTCCTTATATAAATATTTATAATAAATATATATTTTTGCATTCCCTATTTCTGACCTCCTGGATAGGGTATAATCCTCTTACACAGATTATCCGGTATGTGCCTATTATTCCGATTATCCGTTACATGCTTTTGTAGCCCTAGTGCACTGCTATCGGGTATAACAATTAATTTTCCATATCGAATACTTCTAGAATATTCCAACACCTGTGATACCCCTTACTTTCGTTAGCTATGCCGGCTACCGTGATTCACAACTTCGTGATGAAATTCTGTTCACAGTTCTAAGAACTTGACATGATGAGCCAATTTGCCGGGCCCCCATTGAGGTCGGTAAACAAGTTTTCTTAACTTCATCAACAGTTTTGTTTCTGTTGCTGTTTCTGCTTCTCTTTGCTTGGGCTTTTAACTAAGGCCTT